GGTCCTTAAGTGGAGAGGCGCGGTGGGGACTGGGGTCCCCTGGTCCAGAGCTGGAGAGGCGCGGTGGGGACCGGGGTCCGAAGCTGTAGGGGCGCTGTGGGGACCAGCTCCCTGGTCAGAGGGGTGCATTAGAGACAAGAGTGCCGGGGTCCCGAAATGGAGAGGCGGGGTGGGGACCGGGGTCCGGAGATGGAGGGGCGCGGTGGGACGAGCTCCCCGCCGGAAGGGCGCGGTAGGGACAGGGGTCCCAGGCCCGAAGGGCGCGGTGGGGTGGAGGCTGGAGCACCCATGGAGTCCACTCGGATCTCAGTGGACGCGAGGCGTCCTGCCGCGCGCCAGTCCCGGGAGGGCCGGCGCCGCGGACCCCACCGCCCCACACCCCGTAGCGCCCCGCCCGCCCCACCTGTCCTCGCTGGCGGTGATCACGCCGTCCTCCTTGGGGATGAGCAGCGCGGCCGTGACGGCGTCCTGGTGGCCCTCGATCTTGCTCAGCAGCACCGGGCGGCTGCTCTGCGGCCTGGAGTGGATCTCGGCCGCCATGTTGGCGCGGCCGCGGCGTCCCGGCGGCCCATCAGCTGACGGCGGGCGGGCGGCGGGCGGGGACGCGCCGGTTCCCTCGGCAACGCCGCCGCGTGGGCGCCGCGCCGCCGTAGCGCCGCGAGTACCGCCGCCGCGCGCCCGTAGTGCCTGGAGAAGCGGCGCGGCCGCAAAGTCCGAGGCCCGCGGGGACCGCAGAGGGCTTCGGCCGAGAAGCGGGGACAGCAGTGAAGACTCAGCAGAAGAGCCATCACCCAGGGATGACTGAGCGGCCGGAGACCGGAGGCGCTGTCTCTCAAACCAGGGCCCTAGGAAAATAATGGGACTGCACTGCATCCACCCGAAGAAGCCATTGTCGGAAAGACACACCTTAATTAAAATGTGAAAAAATATAGGGCATCTTAGAATCTACTGCAGACGATACTCAGATTATCTCACCTAATACCGATCACCGTGGGAGGTGGATAGATGGGTGTTCCCATGTTCCCTATTTATTGATTGATTGATTGATTGATTTTAGAGCTGAGAAAGCTGAGCCACAGAAAAGTTCATTTACCTGCTTAATGGTGCACACCTATGAGAGAGAGAAGAGCATTTCCTAATCTCCCAGAGCTGACCAGATACTGCCTGACCCGCTTTGGTGTGACTGCAAGGTGGCAGGGCTCCTGTCTGTGGAACATAAACGTCGCACAGACCACTCTCTAACTGTGTTTAAATGTAGCCATATATGAACATTGCACAGACCACCAAAGTGATCAAATGATCCAACATGCTCCTGTCCTGGCTACTATGAGTGATTCCTATTTCTTTACTAATTATACCTTTAGCTTCTATCTAGTCTTGCTCCAACTAGGTAAAATTTGTTAAAATGTCTAATCTTAGAATTACCCTCACTTCCTGTCAACACCCAATCCAGAGGGAAACCCTCTTTTCTTAAACACCGCCCCCTAATCATCTAGCCTGAACTCAAATTCGGATAGCCTCTTACCCAGATGCCCCTCATTTCCTGGTGATGCGCCTTCTTCCAGCAAGTAATCAACCTCACTTGTTCCACTGTGGCTGTACTCCTGCTGGTTTTAGCTGGAGGACCTTGACAGTGAGTTAAAGGTCATGATTGGAACCCAGGAAGTCAATGACTCCAGCCCCTCCCTGTGAGCCCCTCACCCCCTCCACTGTATTATTCTGGCACCTGAACTGAAGGATTGCTCTAGAACTAGGCTGTACATTATTCACATAACTACTGAGCATTTGAAATGTGACGAATCCCAAATGAGTTGTGCTATAAAGTGCAAAATTCATACCTGATTAAAAAAAATATTTTTGGTTATAGGTGTACACAATGGCTTCATTTTTTAATGTGGTGCTGAGAATCGAACCCAGTGCCTCACACGTGCTAGGCAAGCACTCTACCACTGAGCCACACCTCCAGCCCCACATAGCTGATTTTAAATACTCCATGTAAAACAAAAAGGATGTAAGATATTTCATGAATAATTTTCATATGGATTGTGGAAATGATACTACTTTGGATATATTGAATTGAATAAAATAGTATTAAGATTAATATGATTGAGTTTTTTCTTTTCTTTTTTTAGTTGTTGATGGACCTTTATTTTATTTATTTATATATGGTACTGAGAATTGAACACAGTGCCTCACACATGTAAGGCAAGCACTCTACCACTGAGCCATGACCCCAGCCCAGTTTTTTCTTTTTTAAAGGTAAGTAATAAAAAGTTTGGACTACAGATGTGGCTCCATGGCATTTCTATTGGACAAGGATGCACCAATACTTTCCTATGTTGAAGTTAATAACCAAACATTCATAGACTCATTTATTCATCAATTCACAAGCTTGTATCACACACCTACCATGTACCTACCATATTGTTGACAAGATGATTAAGACATGGCTTAATGCAAGGCTTATACAAGATAATGTCTAGACAGTTGACTGAAAACGTTGGTCAACAAATAACAAGTATTTCAAGTACCTATTATGAGGCAGGTGCCTTTCCAAATGCAGCAGTGGCCAAAAGACATAGAAAAAAAATTTACTATTAGAACTTACACTCCAATGAAGGAACCAGCTTGTAAACTAGATAACTAAATTATATGGTATATTAGAATATGTTAAATGCAATAGAGAAAATAAAGCAAGGAAGGGTGGTAGGAAGTATAGAGGTGGTGTGGTTTTTAAGTAGGATGGAGGGGTGGCTACAGAGTTAAAAGCACAGACCACCTTCTTGGAAGAGGAGGGGTCAGCAGGCAGTCTCTGGTCTCAGCTCCTTCAGGGACTGCCTCAGCTGCTGAGAGGCACGGTGCCTTCACAGTGCAGCTTGCTTTCTGTAATTGAACAAGATGAGAACATGCAGGCCTGACCCTCAGGACACACTGCTGGGCAATGCTTGCTCCAGAATTTTCCTCTGGACCAGATGAGACTTTGTCAGTCTCACAGCTGATGACTCCTGCCTAATCCTGTTACCTCCCTGGGCCTTCACAGGTCGTGGCCCCTAATAAATAACCTGGTGTGTTAACTTCTCAGTTTATGCTTCTAGAAAATATAACTTGAGACAAGTGGCAGTGGAAGCCTCACTGAGAAGTGACATTCTGTGCGCAAAGTACTATCCTGGAAAAGGAAACAGTATGTGCTAAGGCCCCGAGGCTGAAGCGTATCCAGGGGTTTATAGGAACAGCAAGGCAGCCAGTGAGGCAGGAGCAGAGTGGGTGATGTGAAGAGAGAAGAAAGATGAGGACAGAAAAGTCACCAGACAGATCTGGTTCAACCTAGAGGACATGGTAAGGATTTTGTCTTTTGCTTTTAATGTGATAGGAGGCCAGTGGAGGGTTTTGAACAGAAGACTGGCTTAATCCACCTCCAGTTTTAAAAGGCAGTAGTGGCAGCCAGGGTGTTGGCCAGATAGTCAATGATATAAGGCACTGGAGAGATGATGGTGGTGTTCTGATTGTCCTTGTGATGAGAAGAAGTCAGGTTCTAGACCCGTCTTGAAGGTGGAGCCTGAGATATTCGCTGGATATATATGCATAATATGCATATTCATATTGCATAATATGAAAGAAAGAGAGGAGTTGGGAATGACTCCAAGATTTGTGGACTGAGCAACTGGAAGGATTGAGCTGCCATTTACGAAGCTGGGGAAGATGTGGAAGGAGCAGATTTGAGAGAGAAGAAGAGAATAGGAAGCTTCCGACGTTTGACAGATCTCCAACCGATTATCTCCCAATAAATAAAATATTGCAAAATGACACCTTCACGTGCTTCCTTCAAATCCACTTATCTGACTGATGTCCCATGAAGTTTCAATACTTTATATAAATACAATGGCCTGTCATGGTAGCCTTTCACTCCTCCTCAGAGAATCTGCTTCTGCCAGAAATCTATTGCCTTGTTTTGGGATAGGTGTGGAACTCCTCTTTTGTTCTTTTCCCTCCGCAGTGTGAACCTTATATAGGCTGAGATGAAGCAATCAGATTCTCTGCCCTGAAGGGTTGAGTTAAGAAACCCAAATGAGCTGTGTGTCCTTGGCATTGAAGATTCTTGAGTTAAGCACTAACATGCTTTGGTCTGTTTCAGGGAGATGAGTGCAAAGGACTCTGTCTAGGACAGGAAGAAAAGACAAGGCCTGCTTGGAGGCTATTACAATAACCAGGGCAAGAGGTAAGAGGAGCTCTCAGGTGTCTGCTGTAAAAATAAGTTGATGACTGAACAAAAGAGGGCATTTGTGAAAACAGGAACAATTAATGACAGGAATCCAATCTGGGTGACTGCAGGGCAGTCCAGACCACAGAAAAAGGTACTCCTTTGAGGGTCTAGATGTTCAACAGGCAAAACAAAAGGAATTCTGATAAGCTTCTCTCGGTGACTTCATATAAGGTTATTTAAAAATTCATATTGTTTGACAGAAAAGTAATAAAATGATGTAACTAAAGAGTGAAAAATGAAGAAAAAAATACTCATAATTCCACTGTGACTATTTTATTTTCCCAATGCTTATATTTTTTTAAAAAAAATCTACTGTTACATTGTTTTTAAATACAAATCATAATTTGGGGGCAAGACTTGTGGAGTAAACAGAATATTTGCTCAATGGTGGCTGGACAGATGGTCTGCAACTTTAAAACTGAAAATGAATATAAATGTTTTCTGATAAAATTTAAGTGTTTTGTTTAAACTGAAAGTGAAACAAGTTTTTTGTCTTGCGTTAACTACAAAAGAAGTAACAAGAGAGCAACTGACTGGGTGAAGTAACTTCTCCCAACAATCTTTGGACCCAAAGTCCTCTCAAGCCACGCTGGTAGGAAAGTAACCCATCACAGGCAGAACCAGCACATGCGCGTGCGCACTAAAATGCTTCGGCTGCGCATCGCCCCCTGGTGGTGTTCCCGCCTTCCGCCTCTTTCCGTCCGCCAGTTCTTGGGGATCTGTGTTCCTGTGACACGGCTCCGACTGTTTTCCTTCCGGCTCCCATTGCTTTCTGCCTTGTACAATGGCTTCTGGAATGGTGAGGCTGTTCCAGCTTGGGCCTCGGTGCCTCCTGGCGCGAGACGCCCCCACGCTCGTCTTGCCGGTTCGGGGAGTAAAGGGTTTCCGCGCCGCGTTCCGCTTCCAGAAGGAGTTAGAGCGGTGGCGCCTGCTCCGCTGCCCACCGCCACCCGTCCGCCGGTAAGAGCCTCCGGAGGCGTCTGGGTGGCCGCGGGGCAGGCGGGACCTGGGTTTTCTCCCCAAGATTTCTGCCCGGCGGCGGCCGCGTGTCTATCTTGAGCGTAAAAGGTTTGAAAAACGTGGAAGAGACCTGGATGGGTGGCCTAAGGAGAGGGGTGTGTGCCCCGGGCGGTGGAGCGCGGGGCGCCGGTCTCTGCAGCGCCCCTTGGGATCTTAGGAAGAGTGTGGGGAATGGGGACGGCTGCAGGGCACGCTGTCCCCGGGCCTTGGTGAGGCCTGGTAGCCTGGCTCTGAGGGCAAGAGGGAGGAAGCTCCGCAGCAGTGCCAGCTAGGGCAGGTCACTTACTGACTGTGCACCCACAGGTCCGCAGCCCAAAGTAAAAGGGAACCTTCACCCTAAGGATCTGGCCCCCATGAATCTTGTTGCAGCCTGGCAAAAAGAATCGCCCCAGATGGGAGCACACTTCACACAGGGCCCTGCTGATGAACCCAGCCTAATTCCATCTTAAGATAGGGAGCCACCTCCTCATAAAATCACGAGAAGTTAATTTCTGTTTTACTATAAATTACTACCATTTCTAAACTTGCTTGGAACACCTGCCTGTGCCTTGAACTCGCCCATGCCTGGCTTTCCCTGACCAGATAACAACCCTCTCTGAAACCTCAGTGGCCTCATAAGTTCTGATGTTGGGATCTAAATTTATTCCCTACCTTGAAATGTTAAGCCATGTAGATCTTTACCCTACTATCTGCCTTTGTATTATGCTTGTCAAAATCCTGTTATCTGTAAGTTCTCAAGAAACCCGCCCCCCCCCACACACACACACACCTTTACAACCCTTTGTGCTTTAAAACTATGTTCCTAGAGAGCTGGGGGACTGTACTCTAGACCAGGGTTTTCAGGAGGGACAGTCCTGGCCAGAATTACACACTTACTTTAATTTGATTTAAAATTGAAGTCAGTGGTCTTTTCTTTGTGTCCTGGTTTAACACCTTCGTCTTGCTTTTTTTCTCTTTAATGTTTTTGATGTGTTTTAAGACAAAGACAAAAATAAGGATGGATGCACTTCACTCTCTTTATTGGCATTTGAACATCACATTATTGCTAGTATAGCCAATGAAACAGAGTGTCTTTGAAGTGATTTCAGCTTTGGAAACTTATTCATGGTATAAAATTTTGGTAACAACTTAAATACTGTTCTCAAAAAATATTGATCCAGTTTATATGTCTACAGTAGGAATATACTTGCCAAAGATTATTGTTCTTTTCATAATAGGCAAAAAAAAAAAAGTAATCTCTTCCTAATTCACTTTTCTTTGCTTATTATAAAGCTAAGTATTTTAAACTTTTAAAGTAGGAAGAAAATTTGTGAATTACATTGGTCCATATATTATATACATTTTATACTTTCAAATCAGATCTTCATAATTTGTTGCCCCTTTTTTACTTAAAAGTTTTGAGTATCACTTTTCTTTAGAAGAAGATGTTTTAGTTCATTCTTGGAAATGATTATGAACTTTTTTTTTCCTTCATGCTAGGGATTGCACGCAGGGTTTGTGTATGCTAGGCAGGCACTCTTATTACTGAGCTATATCCCTAGCCCATGATTATAAACTTTAACATATTTATAATATTGATGCCAGATTATTTAATTACTAAGTTAAATGGATACCTCCAAAACTTAAATTTAGTAAATTTATAATAAATATAATGTACTTGCTGTTTATGGTCTGAATCCATGAAATTATAATTATGTCTCATACCTAAGTGGAAAGCGTAGTTCCATTGTCAGAGCAGAAATGAGCAACCTAAAGGTTATAACAGTGGCTTAGTCTCTGATGTGGAACAACCGGTTTAATGTGACAGGTCAAAAGGAAAATTAATCCTACCATATATGTGGAATATAGCAAAAGACTGCCAGCATTCATCTGAGTTAAGTTTTTATATTTAGATGATTGGAGCTTGGCATTAAAAAAGAAGCAACCTTTTTTCATTTCCTTTATACAATTAATAAAATTATAGTGCAATGAAAAATTTTTATGTAATGGTAAGATCTTGTTCTCTTGACCATCTCTTACTGTCTTTATGTTTTCAGTTCAGAGAAGCCCAATTGGGATTACCATGCTGAAATACAAGCTTTTGGACATCGATTACAGGAAACCTTTTCCTTAAATCTTCTCAAAACTGCTTTTGTTAATAGCTGCTACATTGCAAGTGAAGAGGCAAAACGGCAAAATCTTGGAGTCGAGAAAGAAGTTGCTCTTCTGAATCTCAAAGATAATCAAGAACTATGTGAACAAGGAATATCTTTTTCACAAACTTGCCTCACACAGTTTCTTGAAGATGAGTTCCCACACTTGCCCACTGAAGGCATCAAAAGTCTAGTTAACTTTCTAACTGGTGAGGAAGTTGTGTGTCACGTGGCTAGAAACTTGGCTGTCGAGCAGTTAACACTGAGTGCAGAATTTCCAGTCCCCCCACCTGTATTGCAGCGGACTTTCTTTGCAGTAATTGGAGCCCTGCTACAAAGCAGCGGACCTGAGAGGACTGCACTTTTCATCAGGGTAGGTAGTTATTAACTGCACGTGTTTGGACATGCTTAAGGTAGAACAAAAAAAATTTCCTTTTCTGATTCATTTCTTTAATATATCACCTTGGAAGTGACGTTTTTCTTCCAACAAAAATCCATTAAAGATCTGAAGCTTTTATATAGTCGATTCTTACTTATTACAGTCGGCTTGTACTAAGGACATCACAGAAGTGGAAAATTTTGGATTGTGACTTCCAAAGGAGTGCAAATCATGTCATCTTCAGCTTTATATACATCCTAGGGCCAAGGATAATGCCTATGCCTACATGGCAGTCAGTAGGTATTTAGTAAATGAATGAGGTCAGGGGTCACTGCAGGCATCTCAGGTAGTTGGAAACATCATGCTTGGGTACCAGCTGCTGTTTGTTCTAAAAAGTGATCCTAGATTTCTGAGTTCCTGTAAGGTATAACTCTTTACTATCCAGTACCTTAGCTAATTGAAATTCTTATGTAATTGGTACAACTGACTCCCACTGTCTTTGTAGAATTTATTAATGGGGAAAAGTTTTATCCTTTGCCATTAGATGAAAAGATGTTTACTGTTTAGTAATAAAGAATTCACAGGGTTACTTATAAGTAACAAAAACAGGCTCTTGATTTAGAAATTGGAATGTCAGGTCCATAAAACTTGCTCACTTGCTTTTGAAATCTATTCAGTTTGATACCAAGTTTGGTGATTTTGTTAGAGAAAAATACCTCTCTTCACCACCAATGCAGACTTTGTTCATAGGCAAGCCCTGTCTTCCTCCTTCTCCAAGGAGGGCCTGTGATAGGTAGGATTTCTTTTTTTTAATTAGTGAAGCTGAAATAAAAGTTCTTGTGCTTGAATGATTGTTGTAATGAAATGGACTTTTTATTTTGTGAATTAAGAGATCTTTTAAAATTTTTCCCCTCTTGACTACATTCATCCATCCTGTGTTATTACCAGTGTTTGTTATATGAGTTAATTGCAATGTAAAATTGCTGTGAAAATAATGCTTCTAAATTTTCTATACAATAATTTTATTGACAAAATTATTTTGCCTTGAATGTGTGTCTTTAACATGATTTTCTGACAGAAGTTATTGCCATTTATTTATCACTAAACATTTTTTCTTAGTGGTAGGAATTTAAATCTAAATTCTATCTTCTGCATAATTTTAGTGGACCATATTGATGCTATAAAAATTATAGTTTATATGAAAAAAAACTTGGGGAACGGAGGTATAGCTCAGTGGTTGAGTGCTTATCTGCTATGTAGGCCCCCGAGTTCAGACCCTAGCACAGGAGGTTGGGGGTATATAGGCCTACATGGGAATGAAAAAACACAGGCTGAAAATTCCTTATCCAAAATGTTTGGGATGAGAAGTGTCTTGGATTTGGGATTTTTTCTTTCAAATTTTGCAATATTTGCAAAACTTTACTAGTTGAGCTTCCCTAATCTGAAAATAGAAAATTTGAAATCTGAAATGGTCCAAAATTTGAAAGTTTTTGAGCACCAATATGATGCTTGAAAAGGTGAGATTTTAGAGCGTTTCAGATTTTGGATTTTCAGGTTAGGGATGCTCAACTAGTAAAGTTTTTCTGTTAAAAGTGTACTTAGAATTTTGGTCCTTAGGTTCTTTGTATTAATTTAAATGTATAAACTGCTGTTTTTTCTATGCAGGACTTCTTAATTACTCAGATGACTGGAAAAGATCTATTTGATATGTGGAAGATAATAAATCCTATGGGACTGCTGGTAGAAGAATTGAAGAAGAGAAACATTTCGGCTCCTGAATCTAGAATTACTAGGCAGTCTGGAAGCACCACAGCTCTGCCTTTGTATTTCATTGGCTTATACTGGTTAGTAAAATTTCAGTCTTCATAATTTCATTGGAAGCTATAAAAACACAACTCTTCACAGTTTTTTTGTTGTTGTTGTTGTAGATGGACACAGTATCTTTATTTATTTATTTTTGTGTAGTTCTGAGGATTGAACCCAGTGCCTCACACATTCGAGGCAAGTGCTCTGCCACTGAGCTCCAATCCCATGACCTTTAATAGCATTCAAATTTTTTAAAAAATATCATCCCCATGGTTATTTACTACTTCCTTTTGATCATTCATTAAGGCAGGCAAGGAATCTATGTTTTGCTGATGGTAGTTTTCATTGACCAACTATTTACTGTAGAATCACATAGGATATATGTTTGCCTAAATTTTTCTGTGTAAAAATAAATTTTAACTTGTTTTTTATAAATTGAACCTGAATCTACTCTTGTCAGCAGCTTCAGCTGAGCCTAGAAGTGGAAAATGTGTAAAACAACCAATGTTGAAAGCTTTTTAGTTGCTAGTAAGAAATTGATCTGCCCCACATTGATTTCAGGTATTAAGATTAAAGTGTTTGGGGCTGGAAGTGTAGTTCCATGGTGAAATGCTTGCCTGTCATGCACAAGACCCTGATCCCCAGCACTACCAAAAAAAAAAAAAAAAAGTTAAAGTGTTTAATATAATCATTGAATATCTAAGAGAGCTATATTAAGATTTAGGTCAGTATTTTTGGAAATTTTGTGTGATGAGGATTTTATGACTATAAAAGCAGTGGAAGACATCACAAAGGAGAAAATGAATAGAATTATATATTATAAAAGTTTCATCTTCAGTTTCATGTGAAGTATAAAGCAAAAACAATGAGATGCGTTCTTTTTGCTTATTAGATTAATAAATCTTAAACACAACCTTTATCAGTACTTATCTTTATCAGCAATTCATATTCTGCTAGTAGAGAAAGAAAATGTATAATATTGCTGTAAGAAATTGTCCCAAGAATCTCTTAAAATTTTCATGCCGTTTGATTTGATATTTCTACTTTTAGTTATCTTTGAAATATCACAGATAGAAATTTGTAGGGAAAAAATATTCATTTGTTGTTTTCACGTCTTTATATACTACGTAGAATAGTTCCTGGAACTTGATAGTCAGTAAATTGTTATTGAATTAATAAAATATTACAGATAAGTTTGGCATCCAACAAGGGAGTGAGAGTATATATACCCAACTGAATATAGTAATAGCTCCTGCAGGTGATTTTTAAAGAATTTTTAATGATATTGGGAAATGATTTTTCAACTAAAAAATAATATAAGAAGCAAGTTGCCACATTGCTAACAGTGATTGTCATTGGATCATAGTTTTTTCCAGAATTTTACATAGTGAATTTTTAAAGATGATCGGTGATATTGACATCATTGGATTAAAGCATGATGATAAAGCTTCTGGGTTTCAACTTCATTTAGATGATTTTCTTTATTCCTCACTTTATGCAATATGTACATGTATAATTATTATAAAGTTTAACTTACATGATTAATATTTGATTCATTTTAACTTTTTGAGGTAGCAAGTGTTTTCTTAGCAAATTTATTCTGTGTTGTAGTAATTTTACCTACATAGCTTCATTTGTTTTTCATTAATTTGGTTCTGCACTTTCTTAACTTCAAGTCACCTTACTTTGAATCCAAGTAATTTGATGGCATTGATATGTATGACTCTTTCAGAGAGATCCTTCTTTTAATAAGGTGAAATTGTAGATCAGGAAATTTCCAGGAAGTAGTTAAACAAAATTAAGAAATAGCAAAACAGGATTATAGTTATTTAATGTGCACATTCTTTGTTTCCTTATAGGAACATTTAAAATTTTTAAAGATGACCAGTAATAATAATAATAGAAATATCAGCAGGGGAACTTATTTTATTTATTTTTTTCTTACTAGATATGCATGACAGTAGGGTGTAATTTGACATATAATACATACATAGAATAGATATAATTTGTTTCAATTAGGACCCTATAATTTGGTTGAATATGATGTAGAGTTACATTGGTCATGTATTCACATATAAGAATATGAAAGATGTGCGATTCATTTTACTATCTATTCTATTCCTATCCTCCCTCCCTTCTCTTTATTCTCTTCATTCCCCTTTGTCTAGTCCAATGAATTTCTAATCTTCCCCTCCCTTATTGTGGGTTAACATCCACATATCAGGGAGAACATTCTGTCTTTGGTTTTTGGAGACTAGCTTATTTTACTTAGCATGATATTCTCTAGTTTCATTCATTTACTGGCAAATGCCATGATTTCATTCTTCAAGGCTAAGTAATATTCCACTGTATATATACACCACATTTTCTTTATCCATTCCTCTGTGGTAGGGCACCTGGGTTAGTTTCATAGTTTGACTATTGTGAATTGAGCTACTATAAACATTGAAGTGGCTAGGTCACTGTAGTATGTTGATTTTAAGTCCTTTGGGTATAAAACAAGGGGTGGGATAATGGGTCAAATAAGTGGTTCCATTCCAAGTTTTCTAAGGAATCTCCATACTGCTTTCCAGAGTAGTTGCACCAATTTGCAGTCCCACCAGCAATGTACAAGTACACCTTTCCCTCCACATTCTTGCCAATATTTATTGTTACTTGTATTCTGGATAATTTATTGTTACTTGTATTCTGACTAGGGTGAGATGGAGTCTCAGTTTTGATTTGCATTTCTGTAATTGCTAGAGATGTTGAACATTTTTTCATATATATATATTTTAGTTGTAGATGGACACAATACCTTTTTTAATTTATGTGGTGCTGAGGATTGAACCTAGTATCCAATGCATGCACGGCAAGTGCTCTACCAGGGAGCTACAACTCCAATCCCTTATATTTTTTTGACCATTGGAATTTCTTCTGTGAAGTGCTTGTTCAGTTCCTTAGACCATTTCTTGATTGGGTTTTTTCCTTTTTTTTTTTTTTTTTAGTGTTAAGTTTTTTTGAGTTCTTTGTATATCCTGGAGATTAATGCTTTGAGGCACTAGTGGTAAAGATTTTCTCCCCTTCTGTAGACTCTCTGTTCACATTCTTTATTGTTTCTTTTGCAGTGAAGAAACTTTTTAGTTTGATACGGTCCCATTTGTTGATTCTTGATTTTACTTCTTGCACTTTTGGAGTCTTATTGAAGATTAGTTTATTAGAACACTAATTGTCAATATCTAGTGCTTACTTGCTTTGGGGGAATAAATTAGAGTGCATGATAAATATAAAATGTTTTAAAAATCCAAGTAAGTTTTAGATATCTAAAGTGTGTAATTTTAAAATATAGAGCTGATAAATCCTCTATGATAAAGTTTAGGTGGCAAATTCAGAAAGGACTGTTTTTCAACCATTTTTCTTCAAATAACTTATTTCTTTATTCAGATAATTCACTCAAAATGATTTAAAACCATCTAATAATGATTCCCAGGAATATTTTTAATATTTCAGGTTTTTACAAGAAGATATATATTCCACTTCTCCCACTTAAAAAATCAAGCCTATACTTATATGTGCATGCCTTGCTTTTTTGACTTGAAAAATACTGGGCCTAGTAAATTGCTTATATTTTTATGGGAATGAAAATTCTTTTTGTCTAATTCCTATATAAAATGAACTTGCAACAAAACTAGTTAAACACCAAGAGGTACATCTAAAGCTGTCATGTTACTTCTGGGGACATTATTAAAGTGAGGGTCAGAAGACGTGACTGCTTTGTGTGCTGTCCTGTGAGGCACCTTGTCATTGAAGACCACTGTGTGTTTTCTTTCCAGTGATAAAAAATTGATTGCAGAAGGACCTGGGGAAACCATTCTGGTTGCAGAAGAGGAAGCTGCTCGAGTGGCCCTTAGAAAACTTTATGGATTCACAGAAAACAGAAGGCCCTGGGACTACTCCAAACCCAAAGAGAACTTAAGAGCAGAGAAGACCAGCTCTGCCAGCTAGCCAGCCGGCAAAACCATGGGGAAAATGTCAGAGATGTTTCCAGCTAAACATTAAGATTATAAAGACATAGATCTTCATACTGTGTTCCTAAAGTTATATAAGCATTCAAGCAGGTCACAGGGATTTTGATTTTAATCTCTGTTTTCCAAGAAATTTTGATTAAAGTCCTTGGTTTTATTGTTGTGTATAACTTGTACAGATAGGTATATTTTGTTCCCTTCTAGCTTTGAGTTATTATAATTTAAATATGTTTGGTGTGGAAACTCTGCTGTAATACCAATAAAAATGTTACTCTTTCAGTGTTACATTACAGTTTAATTTGATATATTTAGAAGTGTAGGAGGTTGATGTACTTTGCTTCTCTAATGTAAATTTAAGTAAGATGGTAATAGCTTAAAATTTCCAGAAATGCAAACTACAGATCATAACTAACTTGTATTTACATGATCTCTAGAGTCTAGGTCTAAAATTTTGTGTATTTCTAATATATTTCTATTGGGGGGATGTGGTACCAGGGATTAAACTCAGGGGCACTCAACCACCGAACCACATCCCCAGCCCTGTTTTGTATTTTCTTTAGAGATAGGTCTCACTGAGTTGCTTAGGGCCTCACTGTTGCTGAGGCTGGCTTTGAACTCGTGATCCTCCTGTCCAGCCTCGAGAGCCGCTGGGATTATAAGTATGTACAACCGCACCCAGCTCTAATGTATTTCTGACTCAGTTTCTATAAAGCAAGTAAATGGCAGATAAATTTTATACTTTTAAGAAGTTGCCTTTTCTAAGAAAATGAAACTCAAGCAGCTTACAGTGTTGTTGCTAATGGGAAAATAAAATATAAAATAAATTGACGGGTTCAATTTAATATTCTGTAATTGTAACAATAGTTACTATATACCAAGCACTGTCCTAAGTATTTGAACACAGTTATTCAGTAGAGGGCAAATTTTAAGAGTGTCTTTCTGGTTCTTTAATCCTTTGTATTCAGTTCAGTAATCCTCCAACTGCAAATTCCCTTTGATTTCTTTTTACCATTTTAGCAATAGTAATAATTTTTAGATTAGGCTTCCTTATCCAGAGTATGTGAAGGGCCAGATCCTAGCTAGAATACTACTCTAAGGGTTTTTTTAGGTGGGTTTTTTGAAGTTTTTAGAGAATTTGTTTATTTGCAAACTCAGAAATCCCTTTCCCTCTACTAGTAAGTGCAGAAAATGTAATCCCAAATTTCTCCAGCTCAGGGCAGTTTGCCTACAATGTTGGAAGGGAACTCTCCTTACCTTAGGTTTTCAAGGAAATCCTGATTTTTCTAGATTTCCATGTGGAACAAATCTAGCTTTAGTTCATAAAAGTATTTTGCAAGTAAAGAGATCCGTATCCCTTAATTTAAAAAAAAAAAAATTGTGATTTAACATATTACTAACCAAAATCTTTAAACTTAAGTTTTCTTCCTTCCTCCCTTTCTCCCTCCCTCCATCCTTCCTTCCTCCCTCCCTCCCCCACTTCCTTCCCCCCTACCTTGCAAACCTTCCATGGATTGAAGCCAGGGGCACTTAACCACTAAGCCACATTCCCAACCTTTTTATTTTTTATTTTAAGATGGGTCTCACTAAGTTGCTGAGGCTCACTCTGAACTTGCATTCCTCCTGTCTCAGTGTCTCAGGCCACTGGGATTACAGGCATGAGCAACTGCACCCAATTGAATTGTACATTTTTAAATCACATATATGTAATGGGTTGGAATGTAGAAAAATTAACATACTGTTGCAGTTCCTTGTGAAATAGCTGGAAACTTGGAACCAATCTCTGGATAACTCTGTCCTATGAGAATAAACAGTGCAGAAGTTTGATGTGTGGGTAATAGGGGAATGTGTGCACGGGTGTCCTCATGTGGAATTGGTGTCCAAGTGCATCAGTGATCATTTTGAATACTGGTATTTGATCTGTGTTGTAAAGGCAATCAAAATCATAAGAAAGTTGTTGTGATATAAAAGTACTGATGCTTGAAGTTGGGTTGGCACCAGAGAAAGATATTAGTTGATCTACTTTGAAATGAGACCTCCTTTCCCACCTTTTCCTATTTTCTAGTTTGTTAAGCCCAAAGAATAAATTTACCCAAAAAGGTCCCTTAGTCAAAATTTAAAAAGTTTATTATCCATTGACTCAATTACATAAAGCCTGTTCTTCTTGATTTATATAATATTTTATTTATGCCATATAGAATGGGGAATATTATTCTCTGATTATTTTATGTGGCCATGAGAAGGTGAATTAGGAATATTCTATGAATGGAACAAATTGGGGCTGCTCTTTGTGTTTGGAGTTATATTGATTTTGGCCACAAGGTGATGCTCTAATCCAACAGCAGAGTTCAGGATGAACTGGTGCCTTGTTCGGGGAAACACTAAAACAAGATAGCATACATCTGCATATGGCACAGGAGTACAGTGCACCATAACTTTTTCAGGCCCCTAGAGCTCTACTCCTCTATATGAATATGCCTACGGGAGTTAGACCACCTTCCTCCTCTCCTCAGGAGGCTGTAAGTTAGGAATTCACTACATGAACATTCATTTCTGATGCCATGATATGGATGTTTGGACTTTCTTCCAAGGTATTCTGAGAAAAGGGGAAATTGCAGGGCTGCTAAAGATAACATTTTTAATTTAAGACTTTAAAAAAATTTTTTGGCCCCATATTGCTATTCCTTTCTCCCTATTTTCTTTTTATGAAGAGTAAGTGCGCTACTAGGGGATCCTAGAGTCCACCTTGACACTTCTTAAAACCAGATGTATACAGACATTCTTGCCACCAAAAGGCCCTCTCATAACGTTCCCCACATGAGGAATGCCCACATGAGGTTGGATAGCTGTCGGAATGATGCCCCAGGTCTTTATTCTTAAGCTTTTTTATTTCCCTCAGTTGATCCCTGTATCATCTCTCCAGAACTCAAAAGGACCATCAGCCATTGTCCTCTAAGACCTAGAGCTGTGGCTCTTGACTTCAGTTGTGCATCAGAGCACTTGAAATTCATGTTTTTCTCTGTAGAAGACCTAGAGTAACTGCTTGATTAAATCCTATCTTGCAAATTAAAACTGATTTTTCCAGGTGGAAATGCATGCAATTACACTATAATCACAAGTATATGTGCTGGAAAAACCGTAGAACTAGTAGTGTCTGTGATTCCTACTAATAAACACCTGTTCTTGTTCATTCATCTGACTACCTGATAGTACTCACTCAGAACAAAAGACTGATGGGTTAAGAAATTTTTTTTAGGAGAAAAACAATTAAGAAACAGATATTAACTTACTCTCTTTCATTAAATTCTTATTTGATTATTCATAGAATATCTTTTTACCAGAGCTGATGTAAATTAGTTTCAAAATGAACTACTGATTTATTCTAATCCAATCCTCCTCCTTCAGAAGAAATGAGTCATGAGGCCACTGCCAGCTAGAGAAGGATATTTCTAAGTCAGAGAGGATTTGTCAGACTCACTGATGATGCTTCCTTTACATATCGATGTCAGGACCTTTAAGCCATGTTTTAGTCAGTTTTTTCACTGCTGCGATTAAAAGACCCACCCAACAGAACAAACAATTATTTGAGGGCTCACAGTTTCAGAGATCTTAGTCCATAGAAAGCTGGCTCCATTCCTTGGGGCCTGAGGTGAGGAGGTGACGCCAACATGGTGGAAGGGTGTGGCAGAAGGAAGCAGCTCACATGGTGATCAGAAAGCAAAGAGAGACTCCACTCTCCAGATACAAAATATATACCCCAAAGCCACGCCCCAATGCCCACCTCTTCCAGCCACACCCTACCACTTCAGTTATTACTCAATTAATCCCTATCAGGGGTTTAATTCACTGATTGAATTAAGACTTATAACCCAATCATTTCTCGTCTGATCCACCTTGTATTTTCTTATTCATGAGCACATCTAAATAATAACAACCAGCAATGTCAGTCAGGGCCGGCAGACACTTAACATAGATCTCAGACAAAATAATGAAAACTAGCAGATTAACTCACTGGATGTTCATGGGGCTCCCAACAGTCTGCCACTAGGACTTAGTTCTTGACCCTAGATATGACTAGGAAGGTCAGACACATATACTTTCCATGCTTCATTTACCCTTATATAAATGGGGTTATAAATTTCAGAAGGAGAAGCTTGGAGCACTAACAAAAAGTTCATTTCCATTGTGCTACTTAATATTCAATAATTTAATTTGTAAACACTAACCAACAATACATATGGTATGATAGTGATTTCTCATTTAGAAAATTTCTCAGTGAAATTACATTGCTATCTCCTTTTCTTCCAGATTTGAGACAGGCACTAAAATGTGAAGTTCAAGAATCTCGAAAGAAATGGGGCTTTAAAGCCAGTGGTGCTTTTTACTCTTTGGCCTCTCAGTGGACTCTTGGTTGGTAGAGGACACAGCATTCCAGTCAATAGTCATAGGAGGCTGAGGACTCAGTTATCACCCACCAGCTTCCCCAGGCCTCGAAGCTCCCAACTGTCCCCACTGACCAGCACTAAGAAGGGGGCATTTACAACTCTGCTGGCTCAGAGTGAATTGCTTCAAAACCTCATGTCACATGTCTTGTTTGTCAGTTTTTCATTTTTCAGAAAAACAGAGTAAAGTGTACAAAGGACTCTCCCTTGTTCCTTTTTGTAGTGTTCCTTATGATTGGGATTTTTTCCAGGTCATCTATCATTATCTCCAAATTTAGTACAAAGATTTAAAAGGCCACCGAGACACAGAGCTTCCAAGGTATTCGGGTCAGTGCTTGCTCTCCTTTCCCATTGTGTCTCAGGCAGAATTACAAGTACTCATCTTGTTAAGTGTCAGAAGAGTGACTTCCATGATGGTTGACTCTGTGTTTTCTATAGGTCCGCCATTTTGTTATTTTAGGAAAATTGCAGCCTGTCTCCTGCTCAAACTTGGTGTGGCATCTAATCTATATGATATAAATTGTTTTCTCAAACATGTCCACGGCACAAAAGAAAAAAAAATCATCTATCACAGGCCTGTGATTTTTGTGGCAGTCTCCATATCTCAAATTTATTCTAGTTTCCCTCAAGGAAAGGAGTTTTCAGAAATGTGATATTTCCAAAGTGAGACAAGTCCTGGAGCCTCTACTGAAGTATATCAAAAAGTAAAAGTTAATTTAAATATATAAAAAATTGAGAGAAATTTTCCCCTTAGTCCACAGATTATAAACAATTTCCAAAAGCAAACCAGGCTCAGAATCTGGGTGTTGATTAGAAAGAAAAAGATGAGTAAGTAGGGATGGCCAA